GAAGACAAATAAAAAATTTAAACAAACAAGAGGAGAATAATTTGATTGTGAGAAAGACAGCAATGACACAGTATAAAAAAACCCTAATATCAGTCTACCATAGAAAAAACATGCTTGTGCAATTGCACATCCTGTCTATACAAGACATTAGCCAGATTTGACCAACCTTCCTTTGTATCCAATCTTCTATCTTAGTTAATTGTGCAGATATCAATTACTTTATTTGTAAATTAGACAAGTAGGATCTTAGTTATGATTGTAATAAACAATGATCCAATGATGAAGTAGTAGTATTTTGTAGCTGACACATTTGAAATGATTCAGTTTTGGAGTCCCAACAGGTTCTTTTTGTCATTCCACTGGGAGTTAATTTGGATTTAAGAGAAAGATCATAGAGAGAATCATATAATTCAGCTTCATTAGTATGGCTTTTTATTTTTAACATACTATGCCTCAAACAAATAGGAAAAAAACAGTAGCAAGACAAACTAGATGATCAGAAGTTTAAAGAATACATAATGCAGACATTGGACATGAAGGGCATCGTCCAAATAATGGCTATGAAATCATACAGGAGACACAACACAAATAACAAATGACAGAAGATAAGTAATCTTCAGTTTATATCTTCCAGTAACATTTAACTCATTTCCATCCCATCTCTCGTCTTGATTCCCTTCTCATTCCATTCTCCTCCTCTCTCCACAAAAACTCAAAATAGACCTTAAAAAGGGATCATGGTGAGCTGTAATGTTTTTTTTTATTCTTGAAAAAGGGCATAAACCACCAGTGGTCCTCTCTGAAAGCTCTGTTCTCATTCAGTGAGAATGACTCAGTTAACACAGGTCAATTCTCTGAGGCAGCAGTCATCAGTCCTCACCGTCATCACCACCACCGTCAATAAGTGGCTCACTCTGTCTCACTTAGTTTCTGCCTTTTTCTGTCTCACCTTTGGGTCTGGGCTTTTTCTCCAGTTTGTGTCTGGCATGTTATTATGAATCTGATTAGTCATAAAACTAATCATAGTTCACAGTCAGCTTTGCTGTTTGGCTGCTGTGACCATCTCTCTAATGTTATGAGCCTGTTAGTCCACCTGAAACTACCCAAAAGCAAGTGTGTCGAAGCCAGACTAACACCTAAAATAATGCAGATCAGTGCAAATCACTACACGTCAGGACTAAGATGGAAATCTGTTTATTCCACAGCCACTGCCATATTTTATTTCTTTTTTAAAGAATACAATCTATGCTATGTCAGACATAATTAGCTCATGTCCCGTCCTGGAAATGCATATCAAAACTTGTAGAATGGTATAGTTTCATGGCCAGGTTGAGCTCTGTGTAGTTCAGCTCGGTTGAACCGTGGTGTTTTGATACATAACATCTGCATCAGACGTATTTATCAGATTTCCAGGAATTAGACATGTAAGTACAAAAGTCTTATTTTCACACAATCACGTAAACTATGAATTACATCCTTTTTTTAGTTTTAAGATGCATTTACCAAAGCACTCCCAGAAAAAAAACAACCGTTTCTATACTTTGAAAAAGTTGACCACTTTACAGAAGAAAGGATTATTCACAAATGGACATAATAGAAGACACTTACACTGTCTATACAAGAAAGATGATTGCCTTAAGACAGCCTCTTCTCTCTAAAGAGAATGTTGCTTGAAAACTTGGGTTTGCAATGATGCATCTAATCCACAAGACTTCTATCAAAATTTCCTTTGACCAGATAACATAGTATGCTTGACCATAATGGCACCGTCACACCAACTGCCAAACCAAGTGGTTGAAGGATGGTGATTTAGGCCTGTTTATCAGCCTGAGGACCTGAACATATTTTTATTGTCGTCGTAGACCATAAAGTCCTCTATTTATCCACCGATTATAGAGTCAAATGTGAGGCCATCTGTCTGACAGCTTCAGTTTACCCACAACTGAGTCATGCAATGGTACAATGATCCCATGTGCCACAACATGTCTGAAACAGAGTGGTTGAAATGGAATAGAATCTATATTTTGCTGTGGTTAGTCAGTGCACATTGAACTGTTTGGGTAGGACCTGTTCCTCAACAATGGAAACCCATATGGAACTGTAGCAACTCTGTAAAATTGACCAATTTTCTACAGTGATGTGATAGACTCAAGACATTAAAGAGCCATTGTAAAGATGATTGTGCATTTGTCTTCTTTGAATGACTTAGGATGATGTTTTACTTGTGTTCTAATTCATCTGAGGCTTTCACTTACCTTAACCTAAGAACTGGTTTGCGATAAGTAAATTTAAAAATGCGCTGATACATAAAACCTTTACACTTTAAAAAAGGTTTCCATGTCTCAATGATCAGATTAAACATTATGTGTTCCTCTGCTGTCTCCTTCAGGACTTGTTATTGAAAGAATCTGTCTGCTCTAATTGGTCAATTAATGGGACACAAACTGGTGTTATAAGAGGCCTGTTTATTTGTTTCAGATGTACCAAAATGCCCAGAAGGCAGTGTTTATGCAAACGAGTTTCACAGTGATGTATCTAATTAAAGGAAAAATATCTTGAACCTTAAACAGATCACAAAAAATGTCTTATAGTGCCAGCTAGATTAAGACTAATTATGTGCTTCCACTGGGACATAGTGCTGTACTTAAGGGATTTAATTAAATAAAACAGATAGTAATCTTTGGTACTCAGGCTAGATTTTGAGGGATTGGTGTTTCTCCATCTTTTCACATGGGAAATCATTTACAGAATCTAAAAGATGATATGCAGCACACGGAGTTGCTAGTGCCTTGATGTAACCTGTCACCCACAAGCTTTTTGCTATTAATTATTAAAGCAGTTTTGCAACGTCAGTGAGTTTCACTTCGGTTTCACTTATTTCCATAATGCATCATTACAAAAAAGTATCTTCAGACTGTACAAAATGTAAGCCTTCATCTTAATTCATTACGGGTTTTTTAGATTAAACCAAGTAAAGGTTAAAGAAAAAAAAAGTCAAAAATTATATTTTCATGTGTGAAGTACTTAATATTTTACATGTAAAGAAAATGGAACCATTTTGACGTGAAGATAAAGCAGTTGATTATTTTTTCTGTTGTTGTTGCTTACTGACATTTCCAAGGCCAAGCATGATTGTAGTGGACATTGATAAGTATTCAGGGATTTTTTCCGCGCAACATTTAAGCCAAAAAAGGGAGGGAATCAGCCGATGCAGCTGCTGTGGCTGGATGAGGTCATCCTGTGAATTGCTCTGACCCTGGTGGCCCGGCTGTGCCAGCAGCGATGTGGTTTGCTGCCCTGTCCCAGGATTCAGTTGTCTCCTCTGTTTACGGTCACTCTCGCTGGTGTACAGAAAGGCGGCTCAGGCTGTGTGTCAGTGTGTGGTTTGAAGTTACTGGAGCAGAGACAGGAGTGACAGCAGTGGCAATAACAGGATGAGCTAATTTGTGTAATTTTCCCACATATGTTAACTCCTAGTTTTTTGCTCTGCAGCTGCCATTAAATGAAGCGCAGTGACATTTAGTGACAGCATTAGTTTGGATCAAGGAATGCTTGAGTACCACAAATAAATGAATCAATATATTGAACAATTGATGCTTATGTATAGTCTTGCTTTTGAGGTTTTGAGATGTTTTTAGTTAACATTTAAAAGAAAACAAAAATGACTTCAGTCCTTGAAAAATGTACTATTTTGATAGATTAAATCAGTTCCAGAAATAGTTATTTTCAAAAGAATTCAGTTTTGGTCCTTTAGAGATAGCTATGAACACAACAGCTCTGAGTTAGCAGTTTGACATTAGATCTTCCATTATCGCAATGAATTATTTTGCTGTCGAAAAGAGATGCCGGATTTATCATCTAATTTTGATTAAGTTGACAACAAAATATTCAGTACCTTGTTTGCATTCTGCACACCCTGAAAAGTAAAAAAATAATATCACACCTACTCTCATTCTTACACAAACATTTTGTTTACACTGTTATTTAAGCTTTGTAAACGGTTAATTTCCTATGTAACATGTGTAGTACATGTTGAATGGAATTGGAACTGATCTCCAAACCTTTAAGTCAAGTACACACAGAGCATTGTTTTTTTCTTCATTTTGTGTGTAAAGACAGTTCCAGAACTGGTCAGATTTGATGAGATATTTACATTGTTGAATGTATTGAAGGAGCATCCTTTGGTGAACCTTTTGAATTTGATCAGATTAAGTCTTTATTTTTTGTAGATTTGGATGATGATAATGATCTGTCTTCTTGTTGAAGAATGTTCTTAATTTGGATTGATGATTAAAAAGGTTGATATATTAGTTAATATACATTCATATACTTCCCCTCAAATAGTTAATCTTCATGTTTGCGGTGTCTGTTAAGGGTTTGCTTTGTGTTTTCTGCATGAAGATAGTTTTTTGCCTGAACTGGGGTTTGACTGCATATTTTGATTTCAGCATAGGTACAAACTAGCACAGCTCTCACATGTTGATGAAACAACTATACTTGTAGTACTACATTGGTAACAACTGAGATAAAACGACTCTAAAATTACCTAAATTTTCCCCTAGCAACATGCCGTCAACAAACTGGAAATATGGCTGAAAAATGCTGTGATCACATGCTGTTATCTAAACCAAATTTTTACACACAGTACACGAAATAGCATGTGAAGCTGACCATTGGAGGAAAGAAATTTCCTTGAACTGCAATAAAACAACAAAAAGGCAAATTTCTCTATAGAAGAAAACAATCACAGCAGTGCTTGAATTTCTTCCTCTCTCTGAGAAACATGGATGGATACAAATTACTGTAAGCTTGCCCAGGCATGCCTCATTTCAACTTGTCAGAGTTCATGATTGAGGACAACGGCTGCTGTTATTCAGACTTGTTGCCATGGCACCCGGCTGCTTTTCAGTACTGACCCATCTCTTTCAGTTGTCTCCCACCACAAATAAAACATGCGTGTGTCAGCACCTGCATGCAGATCATGTTTGTGTCCTCCACAGGGTCCCACGATTCCTTCAGTTTCTACATCGATGAAGCATCTCCGGTGGGTCCCGAGCAGCCAGAGACGGTGCAGAACTTTGTTTCGGTTTTTGGCACGGTGGCCAAGAAGCTGATGAGGAAGTGGTTGGCCACGCAGACCATGAACTTCACGAGCCAACTGGAGGCTGGAATCCGCTTTTTTGACCTGCGCATCTCCACCAAACCCCGTGACCCTGATAACGAGCTGTTCTTCGCCCACGGGCTCTTCAGTGCCACGGTCAGAGTTTTGATATTTCTTTTTTTAATGTGACGACTATTTTTAGCCAACCTTGTGCTTGCAAAGGGATGTTTGTTCATTTCTGTGTACTTACCAAGAGTTTAATCGTGCAAAGTAGAGAGTTTCCGTACAGTCACAGCTTGTCAACATTTTCATGTGAGTCGCATTATTGAAATCACTCACATGGCTGATGTTTGTGTGTTTATTTTCAGGTTCGAGAAGGCCTAGAGCAGATCAGTAACTACTTGTCATCTCATGCCAGAGAAGTTGTGTTCTTGGATTTCAACCACTTCTACGGTGTGCAGAACCTCCACCATGAAAAACTGGTGGCCATGTTGAAAGAGGTGTTTGGAGAGAAACTCTGCCCAGTGGTTTTCGCTCAGGAGGTACATGAGCACTTCATTTGTTTTAAAGAAGGGGGAAGATATTTGTGTTATCAGCAGCCATTTTGTAGCTTAATCTGCTATGATTGAACATAAAAGATTCAGATAATTACTGTTTTGTCATTCGTGAATGGAAGATATTCTTTGTTTTGATTCCTTGAGCTGGAGAATGGTGGTTATCCCTAATCAAAGTTATTTTTTAAACAGTTTTACTCTGAAAATGTTGTTTTTGTAGGAAAGACGAGTAGCACGGTCCTTTGTGCTCAGTTCTGGCTCTCACTTTCCCTCTTTTCTTCCACTTGAAGCCCCTGAAAGAACGAATATGTTGAAAATCCATCAGATCTTTAACAGGTCCCACATTGGCATAATCTGTGTATTTCCCTGTGACTGCCGCTGAGAGGGGATAGAATGACATCTAAGGGAATAGCCAATAGAGATTTGTGGATTTAGGAAGATATTAAGCTGCTTCTCATTGCTTTAGGGGCAGCTAGAGCGGTGTTTAATTTCAGAGCGAACAAATGGCTGTATTCTTTTCTCTACAGGTACTAAATCCATCTCTCGTATTCTTTTCCTTTTCTGACATTTCTTCATCATCTTTTTAATTCACAACTTCTCTCTCATTCATTTGTCAAACAAGATTTCAGTGTTCATTCCTTGTTTGACTGAACATCCAAGACTTCTAAAACCCTCTTTTAAAGTGTTCCTTCAACATTAACCACAAACACTATTGTTTGGATCATTTTATTTTATCAATTCAAATGCATTTTCATAAGTGCGATGTAGATTTATTAACTTAACAGTTCATTAACATAACTTAAGTCTGAACACAATTTTTCACCATCTACAGTAGCTTGTCAGTCTTTTGAGGCATTGCCATAGAAACAGATTTGATATGTGCTCACACTATAAACTGAAACCCCACCCAGAAACATTTTCAATAGTGATGTTATTGAAAACTGAATAAATGAAGGTTAGTGTTTGATCAATTTAAGCTAAATTAAGGTGGTGTTCAGTATTTGTAAACCTGTGATTTTGTTGAATTATATCATAATTCAACCAGCGCTGCATATTGCATGGATGTTTTATTACACACAATATTGATTTATTTTCATTTGGGTTTAGAATAAATAGAGTTAGATTGCAGCACATAAGTGAGATCTTATCTTTCTTTACAAAACCATTTCACTACATTAAACACTGAAATTGAATTGAATTGAATTGAATTGAATATACTTTATTGATCTCCAGGGATTATATAACTATTTGAATAACTAAAAGGTCTATCTTAGTTATGTGATTTGCACAGTTTACACACACAAGGTGAAAATGTACACAACACGTCGCACACCTTCTCCTAAGCTCTCTCCATTCTTGTCTGTGCCCTCGCCTTTTCTTACTCTTTATTATTCAGACAGTTACTTAGTTCTTACATCATTTACAGATTTGAGCTGTTTTAATTTTTTGGCCAACATTCTTGCTTTATTGACAAATGTCTTCAAATGCGGAGAAGGTTTCCAGAGAAGCTTACGTCCTTAAAAGATAAGCCGAGCTTCTTTAGGGTGAAAAGCTGGTCTGCTGCGCTGAGATATGCTCTTATCTGCAGAACACAAATTAACTAAAAGCAATTGTATCTCCTACATTCAGTGTAGCAGAATATATCATGCATCCATTTTCTTTCCCTGCTCAATCCATTTCAGGGTTGTGGGCAGGGGTAGGAGCCCAGACCCTTGACAGGCCAACAGTATGTCACAAGGGATAGAAATATAATTTTCTATCTGTGCAGATCTGGTTGTTGACTTTGCAGATACTAAGTACCTGGGTAAATGTCTTTCTGTCACTCAACACAGAAGAAGTATTTATTCCCACATAACCTCCTGCTCCTCTGGATGTCCTCCATCCATTCTCAGGTGACTCTGCAGTATCTGTGGGAGAAGGAGTACCAGGTGCTTGTCTTCTATCATCACCCCATGGCACTGGAGGTGCCTTTCCTTTGGCCAGGCCAGATGATGCCCTCTCCCTGGGCCAACACCACTGACCCAGAGAAGCTAATTCAGTTCCTTCAGGCATCAGTGACTGACCGCAGGCATGTTCGAACTTTCATTTCCCTTCAGGTCTTGGGGCACAGGTTAAACCGAGTGATGTCTCTCGCCTATGTCATGTTAGGGCTAACAGCTAGGTTTAGTTGAAGTATTATCTGTGCCTTGGGTCTTATCTGTGTCCTTATTTTATCTCAGTTACTGTTGCTCCCTTAATTTCAAGGATATACTGCTACAGCTAAGACAAAGACAATTAAATTCATATACCCAGTAGCATTTAGCTTCAGTAAAACTTGAATATGCTTCCATATGAATCCAAGTTGTTTTTCTTCTTCAAGGGAGAATTTATTCCAATGAATTCAATAGGGAAATTAGGTTTATTCATATACTCAGTCATACGTTGAAGAAAATGTCTTAAGGCACCTTAAGACATTTTATCATTTATTTAAATCATTTATTTAAGACAATGCATTTAAGACAATGAATCAAAAGCAAAGAGATAAAATTATAACAAAAAAGTAATTGCTCGATGTGTTTCCTTGCAGGAGGAAAGGGACGTTTTTTGTCTCCCAGGTGGTTCTGACCCCGAAGGCCAGTACTGTGATGAAGGGTGTGGCTAGTGGACTGAGGGAGACAATCACAGAAAGGTGCATACAACTGTGAGACAATAGAATTAGCCCCATTTTGTGCTTATGTCTACGAGCCATGCATGGTGGCACAGAGTATTTGCGTGCTTTAAACTGGGACCAAAAATTGTTGCAATGCCTCAGGGACCACAGGCCTCTTGAATTAACCAAAACTACTCACTATAAAAGTAAATTATTAGGCATGTGCAAATGCAAACACAAACATATGTGATTTATTGTGACATTTAGGAATTCTATTAAGAGGCTTGTTGGTTTCAACTATGTCCCAAAAGGGATTTGGCAATGAAGTCATTTGAGTTTTAGTTTGTTTTGAACCGCTGGATAAGACTTCTTTTGATAACCTTGACGCTTTGTATTTTATAGTTTTCCTCATTCTTTATATTATTAATACGTTGTATCTCTTCCACCTCTCCATCCCCCACCCCCGATTTAACCTCAGCTTTGTCTGTATTTCACTCCTTCTTAATGTCAACAGTTTGTTAAAAGCCTCAGAAGCAAAACCATCAATTTTCTGTACATGAATTATTCATTTGATAATTCCACTATCAGCCATTCTCACCAGGCATTTAGCTACTTTGATGTAGGCATCCTTCAAAATTCCAAGCATTTATTTAGCCACACAGGCTGCCAGTATGGGCCACAGCCTTACAAGAAAGCATGAAAGGATGAGGGGAGAGATAATTCCCGTAGAATCGGGCGAGGCGTGTGCTGGGATGACGCCCTCCTCTGGTGTTTGCCTCACATGAACACGTCCAGTGAGTCTTCAGTGTCCTTCTCACAACCAGACACCAGCTGTGAGAAGGACACAGACAGACATCACATGCTGCGTCACAAGGATTTTTTCTTTTTCTTTTTTTTTTTATCAATGCGAGCCCTGTTCTGTACCAAAACCAGCCAACTATGAATCATCCCTTCCTCTGTCGCTCCGTTTATCTTTTTTGCCTTGACTTTTGCCCGGAGTGCTCTTTCCCCTAACATGACACTGTTGTACATTTTATGTCAATTCTTCCAGGGCATTACCGGCCATGATGCAGTGGATCAGATCGCAAAGACCCGGCGAGAGCGGCATCAATATCATCACAGCTGATTTTGTGGAGCTTGGAGAATTTATCAGTGCCGTTATCACCCTCAACTATCATTACCTGGATGATGATGATGACGATGCCACCTGATAGCCCACAGGGGGCACTGGAGAGTGCAGTCACTGCCACAAGTAGCAGTGGTTGGGTTTATGCTCTCAACCTTTTCTCTTTGGCATTTATTTCAGGAGGGGAGCTGCAGTGCTCCTTTCACTTTATTTAGGGCTATAGTGAACTGAGAGATCAGGGGAGATGAGAAGAGGCATCTAAAGGAATGGTGGAACCAATGGTGATGTTCGGTTGGAGCTCAGTCAGAATAGAATTAAGTTTCCTATTTTGGGGATCAAAACCTTTCTGTTCTTCAAGCTTTTCGTTTTACTCCTTCTGCTGTAAAAACAAACTCAATGCTTTTTTCACTGATCAGAATGTTCAATTCTTCATCAAGCATAGGTTTCTCAGAGGATATCAGCCCTCTGCAGCAGTACTGGTAATTCAGTCTTGTTATTTAAGTGGTAGTGACAGTTTTTTAACACTAGATTGTTTGAAATAAATCTCTGTAACTTAAAATGTTGGCTGATGTAAGTAGTTAGCTGTTGTCTGTCCTCTTAGGAAAATCAGTCCAAGTGAAGTTCTCTTCTACCCTTTGCTCTTTTTTTTTCAAACAATATGCACCCTCAGTCAGATCACTTTGGGTGTTATTTTGAAAAGCACTTTGATTGCGGAGTGTTGTATCAGTGTGTTTGTTCTATATGTGCACCCAGGGGCGAGACAAAAGACGTTAACGTTGTCCACTGAAGTCAAGACATTTATCAGGCAGTTTCATATGAAACACTGGACTGATTAATTCAAACTGTTTAATCACTGATTCACGAGAGGCAGAAAGAGTGTGAGTGTCGCTTGGCTAGACAGAGAACCACAATAATGACATTATTTAGACATGTAAATTTTGTATATCTGCCCAAAACAATAATTTCCACATTTCTAACATACTACAAATTTCAAAACAGGCACCAGCTCAGTGTTGAAAAACAGTAGCTGCGGCCGGTAACATCTAGTGGTTAAGCATTCAGCGTGATAAATTTACTGTATTATGTGTTGGGTGCGGAGTCGTGATAGCCAAGTATAAAAGAAATCCAGGATACCTGGGTATGCGAGTGCATCCACTGAATATCTGTCTTTCCTGTTCTGGTTGCTTGCCCCCTATGTGTTCATCTGTACGTGCTGCTGTAGTGCAGTACATGTGAGTCATCATGAAATGTTTCACCGTGCTGTGTCTCTCATAATGCCGGCTGGTGAAACTGCATAACAGTGACTTAGCGACTAAAAACACTTCAAGTAAGAAAAGGGTTAAACGTCATCGGTCAGGAGGTCTTGATGTGACCAAAGTGCTTTGACAATAAATGTAAAGGTAAGATCAAGCAGTAGCTTTTCGGTGTCTCAATAATTAGGTGTCTCCTGTTTTGGAATCCCAGACTGCCTGCTGTCAGTGCCATTTTATTTTTCGCATTTATTTTTGTTGTGTTTCATCCAAGAGAAAAAAATTACACATTGCAAGGTTTTTCATAATATGCATGAAAAAGAATATCATACAGCCAAACAACAGGATCAGTGTGGCATTTTCTGTGAGGAATGTATTTTGCCACAGTGTTGTAGTGTCTGCTCCTCCATGTGTTTTGCCATTTCTGAAGGGCCCATGTGAGTGACTGAATTTCACTATTGTGTGGCATCATGTCAAAATGTTTTGTATCGTGGACAGTTTCTACTTTCTGTATTGCAAATAGTCTATTGCCAATAAATTGTAAATTTGAATTATTGCTAACAGTAAACATTTTCTTATGACCTGTACCTTAAGTGAGCAACTGTACTGCTATTATAATTTTCTACTTTTTTGCATGACACTCTATTACATACACCTACTGATGCACACCAGTGGGGTCCATGAGGTTTGTGTAAACCATTTGCTCCTTTTTTTCACATTTCCCAAGAGCATGCATACATCTTAACTGGAATTGTTCCTTTCCTTTAAAATGGTCTAATCGATTTATTTTACATGTTGCTTTGCTACAAATTCCTAAAATCACACAATATGACTTGAAATAGCAAATTGTGTTGTAATAACATTTATGTCTTCCTTGGTCCAAGCTGTTGTCATTGCCCCCTATGTTCTGGTGTGAAAAGAGTCTTATGCTGTAGTAAAAACTTTAAAAAAAAATTCACTCCCAGAGAGTGATTCTGTTCTAAGTGGAAAATGGCCAATCAAATAAAGCTTCTATGCCTACTGAGTCCATTAATATTTTGTGAGTACAACAACTGACATGTTGAGTGCGGATCGGTTGATGGGTTGGTTAGTTGATTGACTAAAGAGAACATTATTATAATCATCACAATAAAACACTCATCTAATTTCATGAGCATATGGCAGCACTTAAGATGTGATAATTTCCTGCTTTTAAGTTTGTGCGCTAGGATTTCACTGACTGTCTGTGCAGAAGAACATCCTAAATTTGTCCTGTTTCCAGGGTGATGAAGATGGAAGGTGGGTGGGCAAAAGCTCCAACGATGACCTTACCATGTCTGCGGTTTGTATTGAAGTCATGGAGGTACCAGGTCTGCATCTTGTGCTCGTCTAACTTTACATTAGCTTCAAAGTCTTGACTTTAGTTATTCTGACATGCTGCAGTTATTTTGGTATGAAATCATTTAACTAAGGTTTGCTAAGGTATGCTGACTTTTGGTTTTTTTTTTAGGATTCTTCTGCAAAATTTGTAGCTGCAATAGTGTTGTGCTCACTCTGGATGAATATGCCTGGAATCAGGGACACATGTATTACCATGGTTTCTGTTTGATTTGCTCTAACATTTCTGCTGACCAACTTGCTTCAGGTCATAAAACACCTTCACAAAAGACTGAGAGAGGGGTTTGTATGAAACTAAACGGTTGCAGAAGAAAAGAGAAAATGCAATGTGTATTAAAGAGTGTGTCTGAATTACTGTCAGCCATCCTCTGTCACACACATGCAGATGAAGAAGCCTTGCCCAAAGTCTCTTCGACATGTGGTCTGGAGGAATAAGGAGTTGAACCACTGACCCTCCATTCAGTGGGCCAATGCTCTTTCCTCCTGAGCCTCTTTCCTGAATATTTCAAATTTGATAAAGAAATGACTAAACCATAATAGTCATATCAAAATACTTATCTAATACAGATGAAACACTGAAGCAGTGCTATGCCTCCAACATCCACCAGCACCTAAACAGCTCATCTTTTATCATCTCATGCTATGACACAATGCTCCATTACTTTTATCCAAAGTAATTGTAATCTAATTATTTTACATTAACTCTGTCATGCTTCTAGGTACTCTATTATTCCTGAGATCTGCTAAAAGAATTCACAATCTCACAAATCACAAACTTACAAATCAGATATCTGTCAAATATGAGAGTCATAAATCATAAAACTAATGGAGGGGATGTCTCTGTGTCGGTCACAGCTTTATTTCAGCCCCAAGGTGCTGAGACCTGCTAGTTTGTGGTGAGGAATACCATTAAGAGTCCATTCCAGAAATAACATTAATCATATCTGTATACTTTATCATAGAATGTGTAGTTGAAAAATTAACTTAAAAATTAACTTAATATCAGGACGATGGATCCTGTAAGAAAGCCTGTCCTCCTTCAATACTAGTTTTTATTTCATATATTGCATTGAGAACATAACATCAATCTTTTACTTGATGGTTAAAGTAGTTTTTTAATTACACCCATTGCAGATGTACATTTGAAATGGCAAAACTGTCTTTTGGTTATCTCGAGAAATGATGGGCTGCAGAAATCAATGCTATCTCACACAAACTTGCCAGCCTCTTGACTTGAAAAAATTGCTGTTTCTTCCATGCTCACCAATCCCTCTTGCTCTACAAGTGTGTTATAGATATGCACAGTTTGACATGGGGACCACCCAAAAAAACAGTAAGAAATCCTTAACTACAAAGAGTGGTGGATAACAGAAAATAACAAAGTAGCCACATCTGAAATCTGACTGATGTTTGCATACATTATCATGGATAAAGTATACCACATTTATATTTCATTAGATTCTTTAAAATCATCTCAGATAATCATTTAAATTGTCTCTAAAGAGATTACAGGTTTGTTAAGTCTAGATTTATTTTTTATCCATTCAAAGAGAATAGGTTTTCAAATCTCTGTTGCCCTCCAGTGTTAGCTTGACAAAATCACATCTTATTCACATTTAATATTTTAAAATGTATCCCGGCCTTCAGAAAAATAAGAATCTCTGTAAAATATTTTAGTAGGCAGCTAAATCATGTACTTTTTAGGATAAAGGGTTAAACTCAGATGTTTGCTTTACTTAGAATAGTTTCTGTTTAATGCTGAACAGATTTTTCTAAGGGCAGATTTTTGAACTTGTCATGGGGCAGAAACTGTGAGTGGGTGGTACTTGCCGTGAAAATCTCCCCCATGAGAATAAAGGAATGTGAGGAAACTTACTCCACATGTATCTGAGAGGGATTTGCTGGCTGAGCTTTTTGGCAAGAGCAGTTGCAAAAATATTTTTTTTCTCTTCCATGGAAAAGATACTCACACACGGAGACATTCTTCACACACACAAACACCATTTATTATTCTTTTGAAATCAGCTGGGCTGTCCTTAAAATAGTGTTACCTCCCTCCCCTTCAACATAAATACCAAATGAGAAAGGCTGCACCTATCTTTTCCTAATGCTGCACATCAGCCATCATGAAGGCAAGTAGATTCAGCTGCTGAAAAAATTGCAAGATTTCATACTTTTACAAACAATCTAACTTTAATGTTACACTGTTTTGTAATGAACTTGTTATTGATTGAAACTCCCCTTTACTCTCTGTTCTCTTCTCTTCACTCTCCTCCTCTACCCTCTTCTCTCTTCTCAGAGCATTGCACAACTCGGTGCAACTGTTTTGCCATGGCTGCTTATGCTGTTCACCACGAGAGTGTAAATGTCTTTCAGAGTTTTGGCAGTAAAATGTAACATCAGAATTGCCCAGTGGTATTACAGATATTTGAATCGGTCATTTTGTGCTTACTGAATTGTTTCATTTTCATTTCAAAGATTTTGTGTTGAGAGGGTTCACTGCCAGTGGGGCCCTTATGGAGACTGGTTCGATTGTGATCCCTGCACACAAACACAGGTTAGGATACAAGTCAATGGTTTTAACAAAATGGCCTCTCGCTCATAATGTATTGCAACTTGATTAATTGTGTCATGTCACAGACAAGAAGTCGGCCGATAGCAGTCTACTCACAGTTTGGGGGGAATCCCTGTGATGGGGAAGCTACTCAGACACGGCCTTGCCAAACCTCACAAGGCTGCCCCTTGGATCAGGGTTGTGGAAACAGGTTTCGTTGTCGATCGGGTAAGAAATGAAACCTATTTTTTATAATTAACAGATTTAAATGGGACATAACTGAGGTATCTGTCATTTGATCCGCAGGGAAGTGTATAAGCAAATCTCTGAAATGTAATGGCGACCAGGACTGTGAGGAAGATGGGCAGGATGAAAATGACTGCCCCGGTGGAAAATTCCACATTTGTGAATACACTATTCCCCCACCTAATGTTCAGTTACTAGGACTTGGGTAACTCATCAATCCTGAAATAATTCTACTTGGATTTATTTAAAAGCTAGCAGGTTCCAAATGGTCAGAATGTTTAAAACAATTTTTTTTAAATTGTTTTTATAGGTATGATGCGGTGTCTGAAAAGACAAGAGCCAGTGTCATCAATTCAAGGAGCTATGGAGGCCAATGTCGTCCCACCTATAGTGGTGATCACAGGACTATCTTTCGACTGCCATACAGTACTATCCAGTACGACTTTTCGGTTAGTTCTGGAAGCATATGCTCTCTTCTTCTTAGTTAAAATTCCTGTGAACCAGAAAAATGATTTGATCCTGTGAATGCCGAGTGTTTTTGATTAATTACCAGAATTGATAAATATATCAACAATAAAACAGGAGGGCAGAAGGGAAATATGTACGCTTGAAACCATTTGAGAAAACTTACTTTGAACATTATGGCAATATGTGTGACACTACTGTGTCTACTACACTACTACAGGTTGGTAGCATGACAATTTCCTGTATCTCTGAGATGAAAAATGTTTTACACACAATGATTTACTTGCAGTCTAAAAGGCCAATGTTTTGAATCTCCATTTACTCAGAAATGGGTACAATGAAGCAGTGCAACATCTAAAGCCTACAGGACAGCCTAAAGAACTTGAGTTTGACACCCAGCATGTTTGCTCAAAATAATTATTCTTATTCTTCCAAATTATGCCATGACTTCATATTTTTTTCTCCCAAAGATCAATTTCCTGAATATGTTGCTGCACTTAACTGAAACATTTGTCCACTCATTTTAATTTGTAAGAGTTTTTCTTTTACAGATTATTTTAAAGAATCTGCAATGGGTAAGACTAAAATCGGGTCAAACAAATAGCATCACTTCTACAGTTTGTTTAAAGTGTTTATACCAATGCTATCATCATATGGAATAAGTTTATTAAAATAATTACTCAACACAGAGGGAAACAAATGATTGTTTATGCGACTGTGGACATTAGAGCAAGCTGGGTCCAGTTGGACAAGGAGTAAACTGATAACTGATAAATATGATAAGTCAGTAACCATGTTTCTGGAAAAAAGGGAGTTGCATTTGACACAGGATCAATTGCCTCATAAAGAATATAGTCTTGCACTAAAAAGCAGAATGATTAAATTTATTTTGACCAACACAAAAGAGGCTTCAGTGAGAGAAGCAACACTTCTTCAGATATTTGAAGCATGATTTATAAGGAATTGCAATGGAATTGACCCAAATGCATAACCAAAGCAGCTACAAGTGCAGCAGGCAGATTCTCCTCAAGATTTCTAAAGAGGAGGTTAAAAAACACGGACAGGCCTGAAATAATGCAACAAAGACCATGTGGGAATGTCAATGTTGAGGGAGTGAAACACAAAAACCTGTGATTAATAGCGTTGTTTTTAGGGGTTGGTTGGGTTGTATTACTACCTTTTAAGGAGAGTGTGAGAAAGCGGCTCGCCAGCCCCCGTCTCACGTTAGAGGAGGAGT